CTCAATGTAATACCCAGTCTGGGTCCCCACCTTTCTTCTTTTGAAACTTTGAAAAGCGTAAGTGTTGTTCTTTGGTAGCTAACTCCTCAAGCTACATAACAATATAAACAAATATACTAAGTATTATGCTCGTATACTCAATAATATGCTGGGATTCTTAACTCTACCAGATAACTTATCCGAATCTTAAAGATATTCATTAAACATGCTATTGCTCAAATAAATACTAAATCATTGAAAAACCAAACTTTTCTTAAACTTTTACTCAAGGTCAAATACTTAACCCATATAAATCATATCTTTCAAAATCTTAGATATTGGCTTATACTCGCATGTCACTTAAATAACTCGTATGTGAAAATAAACTAAATTTCACATTAGACTTAATTGAATACATGAACTCAAAACATGCTCAACTTTTACCAATATCATGTACATGATTTATACAGATTTTTAATCTATCAAACTTGTCTTAAACTTGCTTGATATTAAAATCTCAAACTTGATACTTATTCAATACAAGTTTTTATCATAACAATAAATTATGATATTGATATATTAGACTTGAAACAATTTTATAAAATCACATACTCAACATATTGAGCTGAAACTTGGTCAAATTGCTCATCACTCATATAAGAATTTTTCCTAAAAATTCCATTTTAAAAACTCAACCATGTACTGAATACTCTTGCATATAAAATCATCTTGACATGTATGCCATATAAATATTTTAGCTCGTTCATTTCTCAACATAAAATCATGAAATTTGGCAGTCATGTTCTTAACCCATATATAAGCATGTCGTAAAAATTTCATAATTTATCATGCGTATATATCGAGTTATTACAATTTTAAAGTCACAGCTGAAATAAAGAACATAAAATGCAACTTGCATGCTTAACTTCAAAAATTTATAACTCAAGCTATACTATGCCAAATGACATAATTCTTTCACCTATATACTCAGCACTTACACAAGAAATATCCATAATAAGCTTAACATGCCAGGTTATGCATATCATGCTCAAATTCAAATCAAAACAGTACATATATAACATGTGATTGTGCTGGAAACAACTTATCATTTTTTTTTTCATGCTTAAAATTTCTTTAAAAATTGAATCTATATATATGGCATGAAAATACATCAATATTCACTTAATATAAACTATAACATATGATAAAAAGGTAGCATCTAACCTTCTTCAAGAAATTTGAAAATGAAACTTCGGAAGTTGATCTCAACTTATATTTGTCAAGATTTCTCTCGATATATCTCTCTTTCTTACCCTCTATATCTAAGACTTTGCTTATTATGATGTGAATTTCGAGCCTATGTTGATGCTCCTTTATATAGGGTAGCAAAGGAGACAACATCACCTTCTTTACATCAACACTCCATCATAATAAACACCATAGGCCCCTTATCATTAATGTTTTTCTAAGATCTTGCACAAAGATGATTAAGCCTTGATAAGTACTTGTAATGCATGATTTATCTTGCATATATCAAGACAAACCTTCTCCCTTTGACCATGCCTCGAAATTAAGCTAAAATGGCTCATTTATCCCTTAAAAATACTTAGAAAAATTTTATAAAATTAAATAAAGATAAAGAATGGAAATCATAACTTGTAAACATAACAAATCTATAGTCAATACTTAGAAAGGCCCATCATGTGATCCTAATCTGATTTCCGTGATAAAATTCGTGACTTAATAAAAAATTTTCAATTTACAGAACCGAATTCTGACTTAAAACGAACGGTTACCGAAAAATCGAAAGTTCTAAAAATTTCAGATTTCCATCTTTTGCTTTTGGCCTTTTTCCTTTTTATGCTGAAAAAGTTTAACTCTTATTAATGATCTTGAAACTTGTAGAAATACAATAAAATAAATTTTTCGGAAACGAAATCGGACTTAATTATCGACTACAACCGAACATCGAAAAAACTCGAAACTTGCGAATATAATTTCGAATATACTCTTAATAATATAAATAGACCTTCTTGTCTAAATAACTTCTACTTAATCCTTATAACTTATCAATCAAATCATATAAGTCACATAAAATACTTAGGCAATTTATAACATTTACTCGACTAACTCAATTTAATGAAAAACGATTCCGATTTAACTTTAATGTCGAGCCAAAATAAAATTCAAAGAGATTTATTAAGGCTTGGAAATATAAAAGATCATTATTAATAAAAGTAAAATAGTTCTAACTTAGAACTGAAATAATTACTTTTATTAATTACTGAATGGGATATTACACAAAAAGATGGGGACCCTGAATGGGTATCACGTTGAGTACGATATTGATGTCATATGGGATGAGGAGACCATCAGTTGTCTCAGAGTATATCCTACAGTTTAAGTTTTACGCTTAGGATGAGGAGGCATTAATTTGTTCTCAGAGATTATATCCTAAGTTCTAATGGAGGCCATTAGGTGCCTTAGAAATATCCATCAGAGTGTGCACACGTATCCGATCAGATATCGGCCAGTTTAAGTTTCAGTACCAGAACAGATTTCTGGTTACCGATCAGATATCGGTTTATGATTATCCATATTCGTTACTCACCCCCATGAGTTTTAGTTTCAGGTAACAGGTCGAAGAGGAGGTGTGAGTGGAGCAGTGTTGGTGTGGATCGTGGACTCAGATGAAGACAAGCTTTGATACGGACATTTATAACAGTCTGTATAATTAACCACGTTTTCAAGTATTTCCGCTATGCACATTAAGTATTGAACTTGCATTTTAATGAATTTCAGATTTCAAGTTTTTACCATTATGAGAAATATGATTATGGTATTTTAAATGCAAGTTTAAAAGAAATCTGTTTTATTTATGTCTAAAGAAGTATTAGACAAAAGTTTAAAGATAAACGGATTTTCAAGATGATGAGTTTGAGTAGCATCCCGAGTTAGTCGCAAAAGATTTCGAAAGAGTTAAAATATTTTCGAAGTAAAAGTTGCGAAAAATTTACTCTGATAAGCGGGGTGTTACATCAGCCGTCAACGTCCGACGCTGCATCTGTCCGATAACGCCGCATCTGTACGATAATGTATGCCTGCTGACCTCTGTCAGCCCTAGCCGTAACCCGGCCCCTCACAAGCCGTGGACGCAACCTAGCCGACTGCGGACTACGGGTAGCCAACGATGAATATATATATTGAGTTTGAAGGGAGACAATGATAAAGGGAATAATGTGGAATAATGTTGAATTATTTCTAAAAGATAACGAAGAGTTTGTTACGAACAAAAATTCTATGGAGCCATTCGATGGCTCTATAGCAAAACTGTTGTTACCAATATAATTATATGTAAGTTAAGATAAGATGTAATGTATCCAAAAAAATCTGCATGTGATTGCTTTCTTTGAATGTTTAATTAAATTTTTTTCAAAATATTTAGTCTGCTATTAAATTATTGTAGATTTATAAAAATAAATAGGAATAAGTAATTGTTTGAAACGATAATTACGGATCAATTTATGGAATTGGGATATGTGATAGTTTTGCAGTTATCTTGCTAAAGAATGGATTGTGTAGAGATTTAAATAACGTGTCTGTTGTATTTTTTGATATCTAATCATTTTTATTAACTTGTCTCCAGCATAAAAATTATGAAAAATATTCAAATGCATTTGTGATTTTGTAAGAAAATGTCTATTTTTTAATTTAATGACCGCATTAAAAATAAATTATGAAAATATTCAAACGCATATGTGATTTTGTGAGGAAAGATCTATTTTTTAATTTAATGACTACATTAAAAATAAATTTAAAGAAGCAGAATAATAATATATATATATATATATATATATATATATATATATATATGAATAAAAATCAATTATCTCGAACTCTCTATTATACAAATATATGTAAAAAACATTAATTATCTCAAATGTAACCACTAAATGATTTTTTAGGTATTTATATGTTATGATTATTGTCTAATAACTAATAATATTTGAAAATATATAAAAATATGCTAACTACTTTTAATTTCTCCGAATTTAGTGGGTAATAAATTCTTAAATATAGCTAGAATCTAATGTAAATTTTATCTATACAAAATATTAATGGCCCCAAATCAAGAAGATTTGTTTGCACTTATTGATACTCAATTGATTTATATTATAAATTAATAAATATTTTCAATTTTGTCACATATCATCTTTTTCATTTCAAAAGGAAATTATTCTTCCAAAAATGGTGTTAGGAATATCTGCTGTCAAACTCAAAAGATTAATAGATTACTCATACAGAAATATAGAAAAAAAAATATTTTGAAAGGATACCAATTAAACTAACGGACTTGTAGGGATTTAAATCAAAAGGATAAAGGAAAACATGTGTTACAAAGCGTAAAAATTAATTAGATAAATATTGACTCGTTCAATTTTTTTAAAATTCGAAAAAAAGTGTTTAAAGCGGGATAAACATGAACCAAATAAAAATGTTTTAGATAAATATTGACTCATTCAATTTTGGAAGAAATCTCATCCAAAATGAAAGGAATACCATCCCAAAACAGTTTCCGAAAAAATTCAAAGTTTCGAAAAACAGATTTAAGCGGAATCCGAAAAAATTTCAAACACAATATTAGAGGGAAAAACGGGTTTTAAGCGGGAAAACAAAATGATTTTTTTCGGATTGTTCAAATAATTTTTCTTCTCTGTATTATATAGTAGTAGATTACATGAATTTATATTCCATTCATTATTTGACATGTTTTCAAATTTAATTAATGTTCAAAGTGGAGCATTGGAGATGCACCCACTTTATAACATTTAATTCTGAACACTTCTTGCATCCCAATAATAAAGTTAGAGTTCATTACAAATAGAAAATGATACAACTTTGGAGACTAATCGAAAAGTATTTTGTGGTCAAATTATTGGCCGTCGGATTTCTTTCATTTCATTAGGCGGGTGAGATTGACCGTAGGCCGTATATGAAAGAGAGGAGGTAAAAAGTCCCATATGAACGTACGGGAGCTCCTGAAAGCATCGGCGGCTGCGAAGAATCTGAGGCTCGGCAAAACCATCCACGCCCACCTCATCGTCTCCAACCAAATCTCTCAAAACCGTGTCATCGAGAAAAACAGTCTCATAAATTTCTACTCAAAATGTGGCGATATCTCCAGCGCCCGCAACTTGTTCGACAGAATGGGCAAGAAGAACGTCGTCTTGTGGTGCGCTGTAATGTCCGGCTATTTGCACCATGGCTGCACTTTACAGGTCATACAAATGTGTAGAGACATGCTTACAGTGGATAAATTGCGCCCAAACGAGTACACCCTCTCGATGGTCCTCTCCTCGTGTTCCAACTGCGGGCTTCTGGACGAGGGCCTCCAGTGCCACGGGTTCGGGCTGAAATCCGCGCTGATTTATTATCCACACGTGAAGAACGCGCTTGTGTACATGTACTCGATGTGGAGATGTGGAAGGGGCTATGAGGGCTCTGGATAATGGCCCAACATCCGATATCTGCACGTACAACTCTGTATTAAATGGGCTTTTAGTCCAAACAGATTTAACACTAGCTTGGTGCGTTTTGCAAAGGATGGTGTCTGAGTGTAAGTATGAAAAGTGGGATGGCATCACTTGCGTGAACACCTTGGGAGTCTGTGGCTGTGTGAAAGATCAGATTTTGGGAAGGCAGGTTCACGGCAGAGTCGTGAAAATGGGCTTGGATCGTGATTTGTTTGTGGGCAGTGCTACAGTAGACATGTACGAAAAATGTGGCGAAATCCCCTCCATGAGAGATGCTTTTGACGGGCTGAGAACGAAAAACGAGGTCACGTGGACTGCAGTACTGACTGCCTACTCTCAAAACAAATTTTACGAAGATGCCCTCAGATTATTTCTTGAAATGGACGCCGCCCACAGTGTTGTTGTCCCAAACGAGTGCACGTACTCTGTGCTTCTCAACTCATGTGCCGAAATATCGGTATCGGGTTTGGCAACTCGCTGCATGCGCGCGTCGTGAAAATCGGGATGAAAAGCCACGTTGTCGTTGGTAATGCTTTGATCCACATGTGCTCGAGGTGCGGCCTCATCGAGGACGCACGTGACGTATTTACCGAAATGCCCCACAAAGACGTTATTTCATGGAATTTAATGATTAGCGGCTTCTCGTACCACGGGCTCGGTGAAGCCGCCCTCGACACATTCGGAAAAATGTTGCTTGCGAAGCAGCAGCCGAGCTACGTGACCTTCGTCGGAGTTTTGTCTGCGTGCGCTTTCTTGGGCCGCGTGAACGATGGTTTTCACTATTTGAATAGCATGAAGACCCAATTTGGAGTCGAGCCTGGATTAGAGCACTACACGTGCATGGTCGGGCTTTTAGGCCGGGCTGGGAGGCTGGATGAGGCTGTGGGCTTCATGCGGTCAAGCCCGGTCAAATGGGACGTTGTAGCCTGGCGGACTCTTTTGAACGCGTGTCACGTCCACAAAAATTACGCGCTCGGAAAACGGGTTGCTAAAATCGTGCTCGGCATGAATCCTAATGATGTGGGTACTTGCATACTTATGTCCAATATGCACTCGCGGGCAAGAAGATGGGATGAAGCTGCGAACATGCGGAAATTAATGAAAGAGGGAAATTTGAAGAAGGAGCCTGGGATGAGCTGGACGGAAATAAAGGACGGGACGCACGTTTTCGTCTCGGATGATAACGAGCACGCTGAGTCGGCTAGAATTCGGCGAAAGGTGAGGGAATTAGTGTCGGGAATAAGAGAAATGGGATACATTCCGGATGTTTCTTTTTCAGAACTTCATGACGTTGAGGAGGAGCAGAAGGAAGATCAGCTTAGCTACCACAGTGAGAAGCTGGCCATAGCGTATGCCCTCATGAGGACGGTTCAAGGGGCGACTATTCGGGTTGTCAAGAATCTGAGGATGTGTGAGGATTGTCACTCTGCAGCAAAGTTCTATTCGAAGCTAGTGAGTTGACGGATTATTGTGAAGGATGTTAACCGGTTTCATAGTTTTAGCAACGGGCGTTGTTCGTGTGACGATTATTGGTGAAATCTGAGGTTGGTGACTGATTTATCTTGGAAAAACAAAAATTACTTAAGAAATCCCCCTATATATTAATTGAGAACGTGTTGAGCCTATGTGGCAGGCTCGCATGCTTCGGGATCCTATGTGGCAAAATTACATGCTTCGTTATTAGGCTTGGATAGGTTTGGATTATATATAAATATGTTGATTATTTATGGTAGGGGTGGGCGCGGTCCGGAACGATCTTGGATTTGACTTGTCCGTACCCATCCCACTTTTATGACGGGATGAGACACCGTCCCCACCCATGTAATACATGGGTGTTATACTAGTTGTATGTTTACTTATCTTATTATTCTCTTATCTTATTATTCTCTTATCTATAAAAACGAAGTCCTATCCTCATTATTTGACACGTGTCCCTCCTCTTCTCATTAAGCCACGTCGCCCTCCTAAAAAACGACGTCGTTTGCCACTGTCATTTGTCCAACCCTACGGCCTGCACCTTCATTCCCCAGATACAAAATTTTCGCCCTTTTTTTGCCTTCAAATCTGAATCTGCGATTCTTATTTCCGATGCAAATCTCTTCAATTTTGTTTTTTTAAATTTCCGTTCCAACCTATATTTGTAGCCTCCAAACCTCAGTCTACTGTTCTTATTTCCTATGCGAATCTGTTTGATTTGTTTTTTCCTATATGGGTCTAATTGTTTCGAGCGCGAACGCGTGAATGGCGATGTTGGCATGAAGTCTATGGACTCGAGAGGAGCAGGTTACGGTGTCGATGCAATTTCTTAGGTAAGTTTTTATTTTTTAATTTGGCTAATTTTACAATTTAGGTTAACTTGTTAGGGTTCGTACATCTAATGGCCTTACTCGACTTTGTGCATGCTGTTGGGATCTCTGATAAGTACAGACCGCACACGAGGATGGATGAATTGAGAAGAACTTGGTGAACAAAAGAGATATGACCGAAGGGCCTGCTTATCCAGAAGAAAAAGAAGGTAGATGGCTGTGAGCTTTAGATTTTGGGAAATCGATTTTTGGATTTTTTTAAAGCCGAGTTTAAGTATATATGTTGCATGTTTTGTCTGTGATTTTAGTTTTNCACATAAAAAATAAAATATTTTAATTAATGAAATCAATTATTTTTACTGGTTTAGGTAAACTTTTGGTGGTGCATTGTCATGCTACCGTTTGGATATTCTATCTTTTCGAGCTCGAATCTGCATCTGTTGGATGTAATTTCTTTATTCATTGGTCTTTCTTTCTGCGGTAGAGTGCATTAAGGTTTCTTGTGAATTACCTGTATACACTTTTACTTCCATAGTTCCATTGGGTGTATACAAAACTGTTTAAAATGAAAATCATAATTTTTGTGTATGAAGCAAATTTGATATAATGCAGCACTGGAATTCGTTCTAGCATGTACTGTTGTAAAGATGCATCTGATTTTTAAGTTTCTTGTCCTTTTCTTTTTAATGAATGTTTCCTTACAGAGTCTTGTTTTTCCTTACCTACCTATTCTGATTCTGATTATATATTTTCGAATAAAAATTGTTAGCACACAGCTAATGGAAGGTCTACCCTTAATTTAGAAAGAAGATTGGATCATGATGGACATCCTTTTGCAGTAGCCGCTGCTGAAGTTGTTGGAGTTATTGGGGTTTCTCCATGGAATTGGATGGAGACTCCTGGAAGTGGTCAGTTTTCCTTTTCATAGAACTTGTCGACATTTCAATTAAAATATTGTAGGTCAAGTTAGAAAAGCTACCATTCGTACCTATTCGGAACTTAAAGTATGGGATAATTGGAATTTGCATGCCAAACTATTGAGTTTTTTCACTTTGCTTGATGAACTTTAGCCAACTCGCTATTTCAACATTTTGCATTTAACCCTCTGGGAGCCAACTTGGACCCAATGTGCAAAAGAAGAGCTGTAGTTGGATGGCAAATTGCAATCAACCCCTAAAAAGTTTGGACTGGTATTTTGAAATTGCAAAACCTTCTTTAGTTAATATACCAAGGCTGTTTTGAGGACTGTTAATAATTTGAAGAAACGCATCCCTCTTCAGTGTGTAATTTCATAATTTGTTATGTAAACTGTAAAAACAAATATTACGAGGGTATATGTAAAATTGAAATATACGTTTACTGAACCTCAAGGATAACATTTGAAATTTAACTATGTTTTTTAGGTGCTTCATGTTACATGATGCATGCATCTAAGCGCACTTAAATCTAGACCAGCTCTTGGAAAATAAGAAAATCTGAAAGCCATTAATTAGTTTTTGTAAGTTTTTGAGTGCTTAGTTAGGTTCCTAAACACTATTCCAATGTTTTCTTTAAATTCTTTCAACAGGTGAACCGACGAATTCCTTTGGAAGGGTCACAACGGTCAAATTGGGTGATTATGCAAAGAGAATAGGGATCGATGCCGGTGCAAAGCATCAAGGAAACCATCAAGTCTGCTTTCGGGGTAAGGACAAGACGTGCTTTTTTGATTAGAGGATGAAGAAAATGTCGTCTGGTTGCTTGACAGGGAAGTGCACCTCGGGAACTACAATCTTTATGTTGATGAAGGTAAATATAATGATATATCTTGAATTCTCTTTTTGTGGGATCATTCGAGAGTGGAATAGTTACTTGAACACCTGAGTTTTGATGTGATCACAAGAAGGTCCATTTAACGTAACTGTACATTGTTTCACAACATTGAGTTTTTGTCCCAAAGTGGGTTAATATTCTGCAGAAGTTACTCCTCAATCAGGGCTCACACCTGATTTAAGAAAAAATTAAAAGGAAATGAAGATTAGGGATTATGAACTTTAAAAAATTAGACTCGGAATTGAGAAATAAATAATTAACAAGCCAACAGATGTAAATAATTATTGTCATCAACATCCTTATTGTGCAGGCCTGACTATTAAAGTTTGCATCTTTGGGGAAGCGGACCCAATGCCAATACACGTGGTGGACAAAACTTTCTACGCAGAGGATGATTTTCGTGAATTCCTCATGCTCTGTGGGTGGACTTCTTTGAGAGAGTATGATGGTTTTCGTAATATTGACAACATGGACGAGCTTTGCTCGGGTGCCATTTACTGTGGGGTCGACTGACCTGCCAGATTTTTGTGCTCTCGTTAAATGAACACCGTCTATTTTTTTTTTCTTGAACATCAAGATTATCTTCGGAATAATTATCGTGGGCCTGCCGTGCTGTGCATGGCGATAGCCTTCTAGTCTTATATATATAAAAAGGAAGTAATGGCCTTCCCCGTTTGACACGTGTCTACCCTTAATACGATATCGTTTCACTTTCAACCAAAACGACGTCGTTTATCAAGATTTTTTTAGGCCTGCGTCTTCTTTTTTCGGGATGTTTATTTAAATGACCCAGTCAAAGGTCATATTTATTTAAGTGACCCTTTTGTCTTTTTTATAAAATGTGATACATGAAGGGTCCAAAATACCCTTATGTTATATAACAAATGTTCTTTCGTTTTTCTTTATGATATAAAGAAAGTAGGTTCGTTATATATCTTTTATTGGAACTTGTTATATTTTAAGTCCTAATTCTTTACTTATCTCTTGAACCTTTTGTTCAATTTTATATATATTGTTATTTGGTTTTATGATTACTTCAGTACAATTATCTATTTTTGAAGAACTTGCTTCGTTTTCCTCATTATTCTGTTTAGGAATAACGTAGTCTATTTTAGATCTTACGAAAGACGAAGTTCTATGTACTTGAAAGGACCTTCTAGGTGCTTCTAGTTGTAATATTGGTGAAAATAATTCATCAATTTCAATTTTATCATGAGGTTTGAATGACAAACTATGATGGCTGTTAGTTAGTGCATAGTTTATTCTCCATGTTACTGAAAATGGGTGATTTCCAGTTTTCATTATTTTTCTTTTCATGTTCCAACACAAAGTGATAGAATCATCTAAATTATTGTCCAATAAAGACATTCCAACTTGGTAATTTAAATTAAACTTAATTTTACCAAATTTTAGATTTCCACTCCCTTCAGCTATTAGAGCATCAGAATAATTAATCATTCTATTATCAATTAGTCTTATGGTAATAGGAGAATCTATTCCTAGACTATAAGTTGATTTAAGAATTATTTGTATAGTAGAAACATGTAAGTAAGAGATTTTATTCCTAGTTTCTGTTTTTATATCTTTCAACATAGAAAGAATTTGTTCTTTACAGATAACAGGAATAACTACATTTCCTTCTGTTTGATCTGTATCTATTGCTTCTTCTCCAGAAATGATTCCAAAGAATATTTCATTCTTTCTAGAAATTAAGTTATTTAATTTCTTTATCAATCCTTCATTTCTGAAATTATGATTCTTTTTTAAATCATGATCTGCTATTCCTAATTTATTTGCATCTATCAAGGCTTCAATTAAATAGCCTGATTTTTCGTGCTTTGTGCAGTAATCTAAAAGATTATTTTCTTTATCCATAGATTTTTAATTTAAAATTTTAGTATTTTTGCCTGTTACCAGGCTCTGATACCATTTTTGTTTTGGTGCTACTCCAGCTTTTAACTTCGGGTTTTATTTTTGTTTTGCTGCTGCTCCAGCTTTTAACTTCGGGTTTATAATCGATTTTGCGGAAATTCTTAGATATTAAATCTTAGTTTTTTCAATTTTTTCTTTATACTTTTCAGATAATTAACTTGACCTTCTATTTCTGGAAACAATCTCCATAGTAATTATCTCTTGTAGAATGCCTTTTATAATAATTTTTCTTGAGTGTAATTCCATATATAAGGTTTTCTAGATCTTTTAAAAGATCCTCTCTAGCTTTTTCAAGTAAATCCATTTCATTTTTTCTTATATTACCATAAGCATCTAAACTTATGGGACTAGTATTTAATCTTTCACTAATAATGTCAAACACTTCTTTCATTATTTAAAAGTTAAAGCATTCTTCAAATGAAAACATCATTTGAATCTGTGAGTTATGTGGAATACTCTTGAGAAAGATGAGACTCTGCCATGATAAATCCATTTTTTACAAACCTCAAATTCAGGGGTTGTAATGGATTCTCGTTTTGAACGAGTCGAAGGCTATAGGCCATTCTTTCTATATCTGAAGCAATCAGATTTTTATCACAAGTTCGAATCAAAGTTCGATACTTAGTTTTCAACTTTTGAATAGTTGATTCTAAAATATACTCCCACGAAATAGCAGGCATTATATATTTTTTATATACAGAGTTTTTCTAAGTTTGATATAATTTTAGCTAACTCTTTTTCTCTAGTTACTAGTGATGAATGAATATCATTGTAATAGTTATCTTTTGATCTTTGTCTATTATTTCTACTAGTTTGTCGTTGAACACCATTTTCTAGAATTTTTAGTTTCTCTAAAATTTCGAGTTTAAGAAACTTTAAAAGATTATTTTCTAATCTTCTTATTTCTTCATATTTATCTAACCTAATAGGTAATTGTATGCAATTTACAATGTTATTAAAAACATTATTAAAAAGTTCTGAGTTCATACCTTTCTTCTGGGTTTAGAATTCTTTAGTGTGCTTGAGATGATTGGTCCACCATAGCTTCCTGCTTTATCCTCAAATTCCAAACACTGTGCTCCGAGTCGTCTTACTGCCTTCCTTCCTAGGTCTTACTTCGACGAGCGATTGTGTCTCCAGGAATATCCAGAGAATTTTAGCCTAAGCTTTTGGTTTGATCTTTTCTTGAAGCTTTAATAGCTTCTAAGTGTTTGAAACTTAATGTTTTTGTGATATAAAGCTCGTGGCTTAAGAACAACTTTTATTGAATATTAAATGTTTACAGAGAATAAAACTTCGAAATCTGATGAGGGATTCATGCCTTACATACTCCCATGGCACTCCCTTATATAGGAAATAGAAATGCGTGAATTATTGGGGTTCGGCACATGTCGCCGTCTCACCAAACGCACTTTGAAAAAGATCAAAAGCAGAAAATCTTCATCTGATTTTGTCTGCTACCTTATTGCATAATTGGTAGGGATTACTTATCAACAATCACATGGCTACTACATTATTGCATTATTACATAATGGTAGGGACTACTCTTATCACATGATAAGGTTCATATGGCTGACAAGTTTCCTTCCTTTATTGTGGTAGGGTCTGTGGTTGCTGGCTTGCTTGGATTTTCTTCTTTTTCCAAAATGGTAGGGTCCTCCACATGTTTTTCTTTTTGCTTATCCGACTCCCTCTTGTCATTAGTGTCGGCAACCTTCTTCTTCTTATTTTGGTGCTTTTCTTTCTCTTCATTGACCGTAAGGACAATAGACTGCACCATTTGCTTTGTTGCTTCTGTGGCATGAATCTTGAGGATGAGATTATCCTGCCAATTTTGGACTATGGCCAAGTCTTGTTTGTCAATCTTTTTGTTGAAATTACTGACCAGAAGAATATTAGGGCTGCAATAATTTACTTTAATTTGGCTTGATGAATTTATTTTTTCTAATGTTTTCAAGATAAAATAAATTCTATCTGCCCTTTCCAAATTCAGTTCTTCCTCTGTCAATGGAGGTTTTTCTTGTACCAGTGGTACTGGTGGTTTTATTTCTCCAGAAACCCCAACATGAATATAGTGGTATGCTGGGTATTGTTCTTCTTCGTTCCAGTCTGGTATTGAGCTCCAGATCTTGACAAAGATTGATTTGTTATTTTCACGAATTCTGCATTTTTCCATGTACAAAGCGATTGCTTGTTTGATTTTTGGAAAATATGACAATTCTCTTAAACTGTTCTCTGGATAGAGGGTATCAATGAATCCCCCTAGGAACAAGTCTCTTGTGATTTCAGGAGTAACTCCTGGTAGCAGAATAGCTTTAATATGTTGATTTCTAGTAATAGGAATGTATCCTTGTTCACTTGTACTCGCGTTTACTTCTTTTTTTATTCTTTCTGGGTTATAGTAGTTTTGATTAACTTACTATCCAGTTGCTGCATTTTAAATTCGTCAAATTTTATGAATGGATTTTTCAAATGGTGTTCTTTAGGAATACCAGTGTTACGAAATACTGGTACTCTCTCAGTGATTTTGTTCTTTAGTTTTTCAAAGATCATCCTTGCTTCGAATTCAGTCTTTGCCGTATGATAGTATTCAGCTGGCAGATATTTTATTTTCTCGAAGCTATTATAGACTCCAATTTTTGGTCCGGTGTGCACCGTGTACCAGTTAGGTGCCCTTTCTTCCTCGACAAAGGTTGATTGGGTCTTTTGATCTTTCACCAAAGCGTCTTTGCATTCGGTTTTAGCTTCTTTTTTACTATCAGGCTCTGAGAGACTTCCTTTATCTGTCTGATTTTTCAATTTTACTATCTTCAATTTCTGCTTTAAAATTTCCAATTCATGCTCCTTTTGCATGATATCTAATTTAAGTTCTTCAACTTGAAGATCCATTCTGGTCCTTTTTGCTTTTGATTTTGCAATCTTTTGCTGAAGCGTTTGTTTCTTCAATCAAATGCCTGCAAATTCCCTTGTTAGACAATCAACAAGATAATTTTTATCACCTTTTATATGTTCAACATCAAATTGATAGTGCTTTAGATGTAATTGCCACCTAATCAATCTGCCTTGTTTATAATCTCCTTTAAATTCATTTTTAATAAAATACCTGAAGTTTTTATTATCAGTTCTTACTAAAAACTTATTGGAGATAGATATATTTTGAATTTTTGAATGCCCCGTAAAACTGCGAGCCATTCTTTTTCATTACAATGGTAATTCTTTTCAGCATCCTTAAAAGTTTCTGAAGTATATCTACACAATTTTTCTTCAGAAGAGTTTACTGGTTTTGCTTTTAAAACTGGGCTCCAGTAAGAGTCGGAGGCATCTATTTCCAAAATCATTTTATCATTTTCTTGAGGGTGATATAACGTGGGTAGAATTTTTAGTTTTGTCTTTATTTTTTCTACATATGTTGTATCACTTGAGGTCCAAGTAAAAACGACATCCTTTTTTAATTTTGCTTGTAAAGGCTTACGTATCGCTGCCAAATTAGCTATGTAGCCTTCTAAATATTTTACGATTCCAAGAAACCTTTGTAGTTGTTTTTTATTTCCTATTTCTGAAGGAAATTCAGATATTTTTGTCATGATATGCGGTTGCATAGTTAGACTTCCATTTTCAATTTCTAGTCTTAAGAAATTAATCTTAGTTTGAGCAATTTTTGCCTTTTTCTCAGAAAGGATGATTCCTTCTTTAAGACATTGTTCTAGTACTTGTATAACATGCTTATAATGTTCTTGTTCGGTTTTGCTGAAGACAATTATATCATCAACATATACCGTGCAAATTTTACTAAATTCTTTGCTCGGGTCTTTTAAACATAGAGCATTATCAATTCTTTGTTGGAATAATCCAGGAGCTTGTTTTAGTCCGAAAGGAACAACATTCCATTCAAATTGTCCATTTGGGAAACTGAATGCTGTTAACTTTCTGCTTTCTTCTTTTAGAGGGACTTGCCAAAATCCACTCTTACAATCGAATGTACTAAACCATTTCATATTTTTAATTAAATGAAATAGTTCTTCTTTCTTTGGTAAAAAATACCCATCCATTTCTGTATTATCATTTAATTTTTTATAATTAATAACCATACGTCTTTTTTGTCTTCGTTTTTCAGCTTCATTTTCTACTAGAAAAGCTGGACTACTATGTGGGGATTTACTAGGACGAATTAAATTCATTTTTAGTAATTCTTCAATCTGTATGTTAAACTCTTCTCTATCTCGAGGAGTATAACACATTGGTTTAACTCTTATAACCTTTAAAGGGTCGATTAATTTTATTTCAGCATGTAAGGCTGGGTTTTTTATACTTTTATTAAGCATTTTATCTAACGGATTTTCACTCGTTATTTTATTTAATGCTTTTTGACAATCTTCTAAAGATAACATATAAAGCATTTGATGTTTGGATATTAAGGTGTCTATTATTTCTTACATTGCATGGTTCGAATAAAAATTCTTTCTGGATTTTTAGTTTCATTTGTTATTGCAATGTTTTTCTTTTTTATATCTGTAACCTCACCACGTTTTCGTAGTTTGGCGTTATTTGCCATAAATTCTTTAGATGCAAAGTTGTAAGCTTTATTCACAATTGTTATATAAACTGGTACTTCATTCAAGTGTAACAGTATATAATTTAATTCCTGGACAAATGGTCTGTATAATTTTAAGAAGTTATTACCTATTAAAAGGTCTACTCCCGTATCTTGCTGGTATATAGTAGGAACTGTAAATTTTCTCCTGCTATTAAAAATGTGACATTATAAGCCACCTTTTCTAAAGTAATTACTTGTTTATTTGCAACTCGTGCAGTTATTTTTTGTTTAGCATTTTCCCATTTTTCGATGGGTAATACTAAAGGATGTGCAGCACAAATACTTGCGCCTGTATCTATATATCCATGAAGGTGATATAGTTTATATCCAGTGAATTTAAAACCCACTTTGATATAGGTACTATTAGGGTTGGTTATATTTAACAATCGTTCCATTCCTCAGAACTATCATCAGTGCAACTTTCCCATTCAGAGTTTGGTTTGGAATAGAATTGTTTATATTCTATTTCAAATTTTAATTCATATTCTGAATTATTAGACTCATTCTCAGATTCAATTGGTTCGAAGTTGAACTTTTGCATTGCATAAAGCATATTAACTTTATCCTTATTTTCTTTTCTTTTAGGACATTCATTTGCATAATGACATTCTTCTTGGCATAACCAACATTTACAGTTAGTTTTTCCTTTTGGGCAATATTTTTCTTTTCTTTCGATCCTCTTTCTATATCTGGGTTTGTTTATTTTATAATTCTCTTTTTTGTATTTCCTATACTTAGGAATATACCTTTTGTATTTTTTAAACTTCTGATATTTTGATTTCGAGAATGCCTCTCTTTTCTAGTTCTACATCCCCATTTATTAGGTATCTCTAATAACTGAGGATCACAACATGGTTTGTTTTGATAGTATACAAGAGTTCCTCTTAATTGAGTATCTTTACATCTATCTTCTATGGTTTCTTTAAGAAGATTTACTCTTCCTGCAAATCCTTCTGTAATATGATCAGGTTTATTAGACCACTTTTTGTTCATTTCAAAAGCCCACAATGGTGGTAGCTTATTGAAGTATTTTTCAGCATATGCTGGTCTATCTTCTTGTTTTAACAAGTAATACCATTTTTCATATTCACATGTAAAATTTTCCAATAACAAATATCACATATTTGAATATTGTCAAGTATGAACTTTGCTTTTTTCTGTCTTTCTTCTAACACTATATTTGTGTTATCTAATTCTCTGACTCCTACAAATTCATTAACTAATAGTTTAGCCAAAGCATTTAGATATTCTGTGTTATCTTCTGGTTTATTCCAAAGAGCATCAAGGCTTGGAACATATGGGTTTGAATCCCACCAGATTCTAACATTTCCCTTCATATGAAGTTCTAAATATGTTTTTAATGTTCTCAGATCTTCAAATGCTTCTCTATTAGTTTGTATTACTACTAACATATAATTATACCAACCTTTTATTGTTTCAACTGGTTTTGTCAAACAATCTAGATTAAGTATGTTATCATTGTGATTATTAGAATTATCTTTAGGAATAAACTCCTTTGGAATATAATTCTTTGATTTATATTTCTTGTAAGGTTTTGCCTTACTTCTATTCATATTCATCATTCCTGGAATATTTATTTTTGGGAATGTTTTCTCTTCATCGGATACTCCAAAGTACCTATCTGCATTTGGATTATAGAACTCATCATTTATATATTCTTCAGGAGTCATGAACTCATGAGTGTCTTGATAATTACTTGGTCCTGGAGGAATATCTTTAAGATCTTCTTCGATTTTAACATTTATTCGATCTTTTGGTTCTAAATTTTCGCTTTCTGAACTAGAGTCGCTGTAATTCCCAATGAATTTTTTTAAAGATAATATATTCTGATATTTGTCTAATAGAGACTGAATATCAGTTTCACTTTGAATAGAATCAATGTCACTATTCATTTTTCTCCAGGTAGTCTTTTTCTTCCGTTTTTAAATAGATTACTAAGATCCCATTCATTTGGTGGTCTATATGTTGGTATAGACTTCTTTTCTTTTATATTTATTAAAACTTTTTCTATTTCTAATAATTTAGTATCTGAGTTACTAGAATCAGAATGTTGTATATTTTGCTATATTCTTAGAACAACTTCTTTTATTTCATTAACTATTGTTAGTATTTGTTGTACATTTCCTACTTTAGGATTTTTAGCCATTTAATCCTAATTCTTTTCCAATTTGATTTACAAGTAAAATTACTTTGCTTAAATTTTCCATTAATGGTTCAATTTGTGGAATCTCCTCGTCTAATTTTATTAAAGTTTCTTCTAACCTATTTACGTTTATTCTGTTAATATTTTCTATAATTTTGTCAGCTTTTGCTGCAATATCAAGAATTTCTGATAGTAAAGTATCTAGAAATTCGATATTTCTACTCGTTTTTTCAAGTCTTTCAAGAATTAATTCTTGATTATTTCGGATTTTTTCAATATTCTCCCAAAGAGGAGTATTATTTATTCTACTCATTTTTCAAATATTTGAATTTTAAGCATTTTAGCTTATTTTTTGATGTTTTTTTAAGATTTTTTCTTTAAAAATAGGATTAAGGACATAAATGTCTTTTTTCCTTATTTCTATAGATTTTTGAATTAATTTTTACAAAATTTTTGGTCAAGGTTATTCACCCAATTTGTTATGTGCATAGGGTCATTTGAACTAATTCCCTCTCTTTTTTCCTCACTTCGGACGAAATCCCTATGTGCTCCGGCGGACTTGCGAAAGGCGATGGGCGAGAACCTGTGCTTTTTCATCGCGTTACTGAGGCGACCGGATTCTGGCAGTTCTTCGATGATCGGCGACTCTGGCGATAGATCATGGAGAGAGACAGGTATGTTTTCGTTTGGTTTCTTCTCTGATTTTTCCATTTTCATTGTACAACTTTTTTACCCTTCGGTGCGCTCGATTAAGTTTCTGACTAGCAGATTGAAGAAAATAGTCGATTCGCAAATGAACAAACACATAACTTGCAATTAATTAACAACATACCGGAAACAGTCATACTGAAGCTGCAACCGCCGACACAGACGCCCTTCCACAAATCTCTGTCGATCTTCGCCTCCAGAAGCAGCAAAATGGCCGGCAAGGACAGTAGCAGTCGTTGCGACGTGACTCTTGGAAAAAACCCGCACGTGAAGACCTGAACCTTCTTCTTATCTTCGTTGCACTCAACCCTGCCATATCTCCGACGACCTGTTGACATGCTCTCTGAAAGGTACAGGGCCATTTATGGTTGCTACATCTATAAAACCTTCCTTAAGTTGGTTGCGGGAACTTAACGTTGAGACGAGTGCAAACAAACAACTGTAATTAGGAAATTGGACCAATCTTGCAGATTTTCCAAGTCTTGAGAGATTTCTTATTTTGGCAATTGCTTTTCAGTATGTTTGGATAGAACATTACAGGTCTATCACTTTCATCGTAAGTTCGAAACAGGTGCTAACAGTTGGCTCATCCAGTTATAGGTTTGTGCATGATTCTGTGGAATGTTGACATATAGTTTGATTGATTTCCATAAAATAAAGAATAAAATAAAAGTAAAAGTAATTATGTTAGTATACAGTTTGATTTTTTCAGTGTAAATAATCATATATCATATATGACCTTTTGAATTCAGTTGACAACACTGTTCATGGTTTAGATTCTTGACATAATGTACTAACTAATGTTTTTATAAGGTGAAGTGTGTATGAGATGGTTTTATGCCTGTCATGTTTTCCAACTTCGGTTGGACTTTTAGTCTTGTGAATTAGATTTATCACTTTACGAGCCTTTTGGCGGGGTGGAGGATGGTGCAACACTCTCAGGTCCTGTATTTACCGTAAAACAACATGTCGTGGGTCGTCAACACACTTTGAGAAAATAATTCCATTCACTGGGGACTGAATAAACATTTTCTTTTAGAATAGCAACAAGTTCTTAACTTTCCTCGTCTTATATGATGGTTTATTATTTTATTTCATTCTCATTTTACTGTATGCAAATTTCTTCAACTAGAACAGAGTAACGGTACGCTACTATGATGGTGCTTCCTTCGCTGCGGATGGTGACAATGAAGTATGTTTAGCATTCTCTCCTATTTGGTTGTTGTCTCGGACTTTTTTACGAGTTTTATTATATATTGTTCTTGTTTAAAAGTTGCTTCCCCTCCACAGAGAGGTGCAATTGGTAAAATAGCTACAATATGTCTTAATAAAATGCCTGTGATTTTGAAAAATAACTAGGTTTCATTCATTTTCTTTATTTTTATTTTTGTGGCAAAATGGACTTAGGCCTGAAGAGTATTACTTGTGATGCTCTATCTAAATATGTGACGGCTTGAAAATTCCTATTGTTACCTGCTGTAATAAGACAAAAATTTGTGCAGGCTGCAGGTTTGCATTTTTGCATTTTAGAAGACACCGGATATGGCGAGCTGCAATGGATGAACTGATGTCTAATAGAATGCGCTATGCTGACCAAGTAAATTGGTCTTTATTTTACTCAGTTTCTCATGTTCTTTTTTTTTTCTTTTCTTTTCTCATCTCTCGCAGTTTTCATTACCTTCAGGCACTTCTTTTCGGTTGTTCGACTGGGGACTAGCTTTTATTTTGCACTTTGACGAATTTCGAGGATTATTTCCTGTGACTACAAAAGTGAAGTGCCTGAGTGATGTTGGATTTTTCTGGATGCGTTCTCATATTTTCTGAAATTTGCCTTTTGTAATTACACGACCTGTGATGCTTTTTGTTCCTCCTTACATTTTCGGGATACGTATTTCGGTACTGGCAAGCGGGCTTGCGAAATCCCTATATGCGCAGGCGGGATTGCGAAAGGCGATTCCATGGAGTGTGCCTGTGCTTTTTCATCGCCTGACTGAGGCGAACAGATTCCGACGGTTCTGGAGTGACCGGCGGCTCTCCGGGTGACAGGTCGTGGAGAGAGAAAGCCATGTTATTCGTTGTTTTCTTCTCAGGTTTTTTCCAATTTTCTCTATACAGCTTTTTCCTAAATCTCTAAGGTATGTCCATAAATCTCTAAGGTCAATGACGATAACTTTATCATGAAGCACACCGGCTAGGACGTCCTGCCCATGGTCAACGCCCACTTGGGGACTAGCGGCTCGCATTTCTTCATGTTCAACGGCAAGATAGAGTGACTCACGTTGGTGATCCTGGCACTGGCAGACAAAATATGGCAATTCAACGATATTGATGCAAGTGATTTCAAGAATTTAATTTTTGTTTTCGGCAAGTTCATTTCAATTTCAATTTCGTTTTCTGAGTTGTTGAAAATTAACTAATTATGATGTTATTATGTTTGTTGGAAATGTTCTATTTTCATAGCACCAGAAGCGAATTAAAAGAGATGAAGACTTGAACTATGGAGTAAGGTTTTAAATCCAGTGTTCAAATATTTGGTTGTGTGTTTTTCTTTTCATATTAGTATTCTATTTTTCAGCTCTATTAATATGAAATGTACTTAAAAAATTCTTCAAAGTTGTTATAGGAACATAATTTCAACTTCAATTCCTTGTGGAAATAACGAATTGGTTTTATGCTCCTTGTGCATGTTTTTTGGATTTTGTTAATTGCTATCATATATGACCTTTCTGTACTAGCATAGTCTATGGGTACAGCTCAAACATCAATAATATCTATGTGTAACTCAAAGGATGCGAATCGTGGTTACCATGTTATTGTACTAAATTTCTTTTAGATAATGACCTAAAATTAGCCTAAGCTTATTTAATAAATATGATCAAATTTCGTTTACTGTGTGTATTTTTTAAATACAAAGTCCATTAATTTGTTACATCAATAATTTATATACTCATTCATATGATATTTACATGACATTGATAATAAGTATGCAAACAAAATGAAACATTGTTGATAATGGCAATAATAGCAATAACAATAATAATAACAATCATGATGGTGATAATAATAAAAAGAGACTCGAGAGCTTGTGCCGAAGGCACGCCTATAGATTGTTCTAACATAGACAGACCTTGTGCTTCCGATATCGTGTACTAGCTTGACCATGATATGATTTATCCGTCCTGCTTTTAAGTTTTCTTAGGATTTCTATGAGTTCTAGATAAACAATTGTGCGACTGGCATTTTAAAGTTCTTATTCTCATAAGATAATTAAAATTTAATAATCTTATCCACACATTTGGGATTTTCTTTGATTTTTTACAGTCCGTTTTCAAATTTCACACTTTATGAGCCTCAGTCTGTAATGAAATATATCATGTTCCCTTGTACTCAATTTATTTTGCTCCAGTCTTATGTGAATGTTGTGTGTACATGATGATAGCGCTTCTTGGTTGGGTGTGTGTGTCGTTGTTCGGTTTCTGGGATTAGTATCAAATATGGAAGTACAGTATGGTTTTGTTTTGTTTTCACTTAGGTTTTAGTGAGTTAGACCCAAAAAATCCACTTATATGCTTCATGGGTGTATGACTTGTTGTGAAATATAATTCATTCTTTCCTTTATTTTTCCTTCATCTCTTAATTATTTTAATATGCTCATCATAAATATTTGCAAGTAGGATACTAACTATTATTCTTCATGAGCACATAAAATAGAGATACATAAACCAAATAATCTATCATTCTCATTAAGACATATCATTTCCACTCTGTACTTCATGTTTAATGAATATTTAAGTAAATGGCTATCAAAAATATGTTTCCATCTTTAAAGCAATCAATGATGTTATAAACTTACTATTCCTTGTAGTTTTAGCACAATTTTTACTTAAGCTTTTTAGTGGCAAATAAAAATTTATACTATTGTCAATAAGTTAGGTTGTATATGTTTTTTTTTGGTTATTATTATGTTCATCTTCTTTGATGCCATCCAATTTTTTAGGCAAATTGGTTATTTCTTTCTTTTCCCTTCATTTATAACTTTTTTTAACAGCCTCATCATATATGTTTCCAAAGTGGATACTAACTATTGCTATTCATGAACAGAAATAACGCTTGCAGCAACAATTTCTTGGTGGTTCTTGGACATGGAGTTGGTTTATGCTACCAGGTTAGCTAAACGACGACATCTAATATTGTATTTGTTAAATTTGCTTGTGTAGATAAGAGGTTGAATAACAGCAGTTTCAGTTAATCTGTTGTTGCCATTTCAGAGCAGTATTGGAATAATTATTGGTGCTTGCAGTTATGATATTTAATTTTTTATTGTTGTGGTGTAACTACAATATTAAATATGTGTTCACCCTATAATTCGTTTTCCTTACATGAGTTGGTCTTGGTTGCTGTGTGTTTTTTATTGGAAAACATTTTCCTAAGCTTGTTCTTCTATCTATCGGTCCACATCACGATCTATGTTAAGTCCTTAGCATAAAAACTATATATTAAATGGATATGGATAGTCACTATACTTTGAAGTTCTAAACGTTTTGAATTTTAGGCTTGACAGTTCATGTAAATATGTGCGTCTGGAGTTCTTTTTGAAGATATTTACTTATTAACTTTGTTTGTCGATTGTTGCCATTTCATTTTAGAATAGTTTTAAAAGATCACATTTTATCTTTATGTTTACATATAGATTATTTATAAAATATTCCATGCGGCTTAATAAAACACATTCTATTCCCTCATTTACTATGTAAAATATGATACACTGATAAAAACATTAATAACGCATTACTACAGTGGGCCGGCTGTGCATGGCACAGCCGGAGGCTGCTAGTAATAATAAATAAAAACTCAGCTCTAAGTTTCTCTTGCAATAAAAGAATATTTTTTTCAACATAAATGCATGATTTTTACAAATTCATCAAAATCTATCTTCCCATCACCATTTTGGTCAAATGCCCCAATCATCCTACTGCAACTCTCCATCTCTAATCCTTCCTCTAATCCCAGAGCACACAGAACCTTTTGCAACTCAGTTGCATTGATAAAACCATCTTTATTACTATCAAACACATCAAAAGCTTGCTTAACCTCATCCATGTTGGGATCTTTTTCTTCGAACAGGGTAGAAAGGTCATTTGCACCCAAGACTGCTGGAAATCTTCCTTCATCAGAATCGAACGACAATTCTAAGCTGCTTAAAATGACATCGATATCTCCTTTGCTCAAAATTTTTTCAGCTCTATTTGCCTCCCTGACGGATAGTGTGAAATCCGTGCTGTTGATCTTAGAATCATCAGCTGTCATCAGTTGAGATTGGGCGGAGGACTGAAATCCTAGGAAGTTGTAAATTTTTTTCGTGTCGATTACGAAGTTTAGCAAGATGAACTCTACTAGTCCTAATATCAGAATGGCCATCTGAATGTTGTTCAGAGAGAAGTTTTCGATTGGAAATTGGTAAGCGTAGTTGGGCGACATGGTTGCTTACGACAAGAAAAGTTGGGAAAAATAAGGGGAGAAAAATGAGAAGGAAGTTCTTGCTTGCATGCAAAGGAAAGGTGAGTAGGGGACTTTTTGTAGATTTTTTTCCTAAAGCAACTTGTTGGTGATAAATGTGGATATTTATAGGTTAAATTTTTGTTTGCCCTTTCAGATGAGAGGAAATTTCCTGGGTGGTGCAGATATGAGTCATTCAGAGACGTTGGAAAAAACATGAGAGAAAATTGATTGCCAGATAAGGGACAATTTCTGCCTTTTTTCCCCTTTGTTTCAGGAGTTTTGGAAATTTCCTGTATGGTGGAGAAGGCTGGATCTGATTCCCTCTTTTTTCACGTTAGTATAAAATACGAAGGTCAGGTTTGTTTATTTATTACAATATAAGTGTTAATCTCTGTGAGCTAACTTGTGATGTGGAGCATCCAGATCTCCAATCTCACTAATTATAGTTGAATCATATAATCAAATGTCCCAACCCTTCTCGTGACCAGTAAGCATCATTTCACGAAAACAATATATTCATATCCTATCGACATAATGAATGAGCCCTTGCCTCTTTTTT